CTAGAAACTCTGCCCTAGCTACATCACCCTCCTCCACAGGATCGGAGAACAGAGCAATAATGGAACCATTTTCATTTCTAATGGCCTCCCCCAATACCTGAAGGGCCTGGGTTACCCACACAACTCCCATCAAAATTCAGCTTCTTTCAACCCTCTGATGGAGGGGACCAGGTCTCACAAACCTGTCGCCTCATAGGTGATGAAGCAGCAATAAGCCCCCAAATCCTAAAAAAGTCTTCAATTTTTAAAATCTGAAAACAGCTTTAAACTTTTTACCCAATGTGCCACCCTCAATGTTATTGTTTCCACTAAAGCTTCCTTGCATTTTTCTTTACTTTCAAATATTCTATCATTTCTTTCCTCCCAAATGGTCCAAAGTATTGCTGCTCTAGTGCACCTCCAAAGAATCCTTCCCCTCCTTGTCTTACCACTAAAACCATTAAGGTTGAATAAACCTTCCATCCGGTCAGGAGAAGACCACCTGCACCCAAAAAGGGAAGTAAACCAATTCCAAATAAAACTGACAAAAGGGCATGATATTCTATCTTCACTCATCCTCTTGGCTTTTATTGATATTGATTATTGTCCTATCAATTCCTCTTGACAGTCAACTTCCTCATTCTTCCGAATTGTAAGGATCCCACCCGAGGCACCCAAGACGGGGCAAAAGACCAACTTAGACCCCTGCTACTGCAGATACTTCTTATCCATCTTCCATCCAAATCCGAAAGTTTTGTTTCCTGTATCATGACTATTACCGGTCTCTCTGTTCTTATCACATTCCTGACAATTCTCCTCTTCTTTGCACTCCCTAACCCTCTTACATTCCAACAAAGAATCTTCATTCCACTTGTTTTCTAGGCCCATTCTTATTTCCAATTCCTAGTCTCCTCTTTTCTTCTCCCTCTTTCTATTTACAGTCTTCTCATAGGATACTCCATAGGCTAGCTTTTCCACCACATTCATTCTCCTCTTTCTTTTTTTTGTCATCTTCTGCCTACTTTCTAAGATAGACCTTCCCTTTGGCTTCTTTTTGTTCCTTTCCTTTTATAGTTTGGGTGATTCTCTGCATTCATCTTTTCTCTCATCTAACACACTAAATTCTTTTCCCTTTTCTTCTGTGCCTACAATAGTTTCATTTTCCCCTACTTCCTTCTCAGATTCCATCACTTGAATAATTTTTAGGATTTGTTCCTCCTCCTTGTCTTTATCTCCTCCCCCAACTTCTTTTACTGCCGCACATGGGTCATTATCCGCCACTGGTGAAGTTTCAACAACTGGAGCTGCAAAATCCAAAGGCCGATGATTACTACAAGGATCAATATCAGTTGAATTTTTGACAGTAAAATGGGGAGGAAGAAAGAATTGGAATGAGAGGAAGGGGGGAAGAAACTCCCTGATCCTGATTCTAGTTTTCATCGATTACTCCAAATACAAACCCTGACGGTTCGAGTTCAGGTTCAGTAGCCACCTGCGCAGTTGGGGGGAGCTGTTCCTCACGTGGTTCCATAGTTGGTTTGCAGTGGATACCCATCTCCTCAAACCCGCTACCCTGCCTTTGTTCTTGATTTGTTTCTACTTTCTCCTCTCTCTGAGGATCACCTAAAGGCCTCCCACTTCCCACAATAGAGTCACCATCCCCCGATTCCTGTAGCTCCAGAATTTCCGTACTAGCTTCTTCATTAAAGAGCAATTCAGTTCCAAAAGCTTCGAAATCTATGAAGTTACAGGCCTTTGTTGAGTTGATGCTGCCTATACTCGATGGCTGATCTCCTTCTTCCTCTTTCACATCTCTCAAAACCTCCCAGTCTGAATCATCTTCAGAGTCTCCTTACGAGACCCTATTGTAACGAGAATTTGGCTTTTCAGGGGTCGTGGAGTTCTCTTCAGCAGCCGACCTCCACTGAAGCTTCATTTGGGGGAGAGACGAATGAACAGAGGTCGATGGGGACAATGATAGACCACAAAAATCGCCTCCCAGAGGCGCACAGGACCTATGCACATGAGCTTTTAAAGGGTCACATGACCCAACTTGAATCTTAAGACCCAGATTGAGCAATTGGGCCAGATTATGAGAACCCAACTCAACCTTTCCAGCTTCCTTTGTAAATTGGGCACGAGATGGCCCGCTATTAGATCTCAGCACCTCCACGTAAGATCTCCTTTGGGCCGTTTTAAGGCGAGGCGCGTGCCTTTTTGAAGCAAGGCACAAAATTATAAAAAAAAATGCTAAAAATAAAAAATGTCAGAAAATAAAAAAAATACTAAACATAATATTAATAAAAAATATAAACTTAAATTTTAAAATAATGTTTTACAAAACCTATTATCTAAAATTAAAATACATAAACATAAGATGTAATTATGTAAAGCATATTCAAATGAGAATTTAAAAATAAAATCAAACATATAAAACATTTTCAAGCATTTAAGACCTCTAGTCTCTTTTTAAATCACTACTTGCACCCAAACAAGGAAAAAGACCATTCCCAAATAAAAGTAGTGAAAGAACAAGAGATAAGTGATGGCAACTCTCACCATTACCTTACATAAGATACACCCGTGAGGGGATAAACACCACTTTGGTCGTTTTCTTTGAAGCAAGTCACAAGTATTAATCTTCTGGTAGTTGCTCTCTTTTCGGGACCAATAGGAGTGGGTGATTCTCTCAGAGCTGAGATTTCAACTGTTAGCGAAGGAACTCAAAGGGCGCTTGAACTGAACATCACCAAATTGGTCATAGAGGGTGACTCTAAACTGGTAGTGGATTGGCTCAAAAATGATACAACTAATTTTTGGAACTACATCAATGAGAAGAGGAAATTCAATTGGTTGACTAAGAATATTGAGGTGAAGATGAGTTGGGTTAAAAGAAATGCTAACTCCTTTGCTGATGGAGTGATGGGTTAGCTAAATAGTGGGGCAACTAGGGACTCTTTATTTTGGGCCATCTTGTAATTTTTTTCCCTTGTCTTCTTGTTTGGATGGGGGAGATAAGAGAGGTTATCTCCTCTTTATTGTTCCCTTGTATCTTTTCTCTCTTTTTTAATGAAATCTGTGAGTTATTGATAAAAAAAAAAAAGTATTAATCTTCCCATGGACAACTTCCCAATAGAAAGCACCAACTCTAGGTAGAATAGGCTTATATGATACCTCCTTAGTAGGAAAGGAAGGCAAAGAACTAGAGGAAGGTTGAGATAAGGCTTCGAAAAAGGAAGAACAAGAGAAAGAACCAAAAGGAGTACAAGTCCAGATTCGTTTATCAACCTTAGAAGGATCAAAAAAGGCTTCTTTCAACAGTTCAAGTAGAGTGAGTACATTCTGAAGTTCAGAATCTCTTATACCCCTTCAAAAGCCAAATCCCAATTAAAGCCATTACTCGAAGCTGGAGGAACCAAAAATTTGGAAATAGGCTCAATTTTAAAAAGAGAGTGCAAAAAGTGAGAGAAATTGTTCCTTCAAGGGGGAAGACCTCAACCATACATTTTCCCAAAATTTAATACAATTAGCACTACAAAGATTGTATTTGATAAAAGGAATGAAAAGTGGTAATACCACATTGATGGCCTTAAGGAGAAGCTTGACTTGCCCTTGCCGATGCTCTAACCAAGGTTCAAAATATCGATACAGTCTGAAATGCCTTTGCATCCTTTTTTTTAGTTTTTTTTTTCCAACCTGGTTTAGAGGGGTCAATTTAAGGCCCATCTACCCCTTGAATCAGGTTAGACCTAGAAACACTCCATGTAGGGGCATATCGGGAAGCCTACATTACGATACATATTGGATGATACAGCCCAATATGTATCGAAATTTTGAACCTTGGCTCAAACATCCCAACCGTTATCCAAAAGCTCGTGAATGCTCACTATCACCTTTGTCCATAGTTTGTCCTAATCTGCAACATTCTCTGGCCATTTCCCCAAAATAGCTAAGTTCCTCCTATGTATATTACCTATTCCCAAATCCCAACCCCTTACATTTTTGCCTCTACTGACCACTTCCCAACTGATCCTATGATCCCTCTTAACTTCCCCTGGATCCCAAAGAAAATCTCTCATTGTCTTCTCTACGTTCCTGCTCACACCTACCAGAAGCTTAAAACTTGACATGTAATAGAAAGGCAGGTTGGAGAGGGTTGATCTAATCAATGTCTTTCTATCACTGAAAGATAAGTACCCTTTTCTCTTAGAGAAAATTTGCTCCCTATTGACCCCTTGTTTTGCTAAAGTATCAGCAAAACAGTTTGACATTCTTTTCACACACTTGAAGGTAGCTTCCATCTCCCTTGCTAATTTCCCTCAACATTTGTCTATAGACCCAAGCTCCTTGCTGTTGTTCAACCAGCATACCACAAATTTGGAATCTTCTTCTATCTCAATTATTATTATTTTTTTTTTGTAACTTTGTTGCATGGCTAATGTCAGACCATGCAATACAGATGCTATCTCTGCCCTTAATGATCCTTTATAGCCAATTGGTCCTGAATACAAAACCAAGAAACTATCTTTATTATCTCTAACACTTTGTACCCAGAAGGCCCTGGGCTACCAAGCATACTTCATCAAAGTTCAATTTAATTTTTGTGTTGCTTCATGAAATCCATTGCTGCTGGGTTGTGCTTCTACAAGTTGAGGATGCTGCAATTACATTCCATTATCTCATAATGCTGTCCACTGAGAATGTTTTGAACACTCCCATGGTCTTGATCCAATGAACCACCTTCACAGTTGTGCTTTCAATCACTGCCTCCATGGTCTTATTTTGTTCCTTAAACAACCTGAAATTACTTTCTTCCAATATAGTCCACAAAATTGCTGCTCTTGTCATTAGGTTATTAGGTTATATTATCACTCAAAACTTGTCGATTCCCATTTCTGCAATCCTGAATCTTGTTGATATCAAGACATATTAGTTGTTTTATTTCTAATATTCTAAGTGATTCAGTTTGGCCTTCTCAAACTTTGAAGTAATGGTAATTTCTAACTTGATCTGGATTACAGGGTCATATAGCTCTTGATCAGGCGGTATTCCCTGAAAATACTCCTGGTTTTGTACTGGATGCATTTGCTCGTTCTTCCCTTTGGAAGATTGGACTTGATTACCGGCATGGTACTCTTCATGACCATATCTTGAGATATGAAAGAAAGCTTTTGGCATTGACATTGGGTTCTTCTTCCTCTATGTGTTAGGAACTGGCCACGGTGTAGGAGCAGCATTGAATGTCCATGAAGGCCCTCAGAGTATAAGCTTTCGATTTGGGAATATGACTCCATTGCAGAAAGGCATGATTGTTAGCAATGAACCTGGCTATTATGAAGACCATTCTTTTGGCATTCGGATTGAGGTGAGATTTTCATTTTGCTCAGATGCGCCTGTGTGTAATAAAATGCACTTGCACTTGGTAAAAGTGTTGTCAAACAGTATGTTCCTCCATAGCTAGACAGTGAACCTCACATATAATATCAATTACATCTGCATACTAAATATCATAGTTGTCAAGGCGTCCACTTAGGCGCCCTTGGCTGGGTGCCTCGCCCAAATGCCTTGACTTTTAGCAACTAGGCACCCTTCTAGGTGACTAAGCACCAGCCTAGGCGACAAAAATGACAAGGCAGGCACCTTTTATAGTATCATTTATATTGCTGTATCTTATTAATGTATGTGTTAATACATTTTATTATATGCTATATATATATATAGCAGTATACTTTGTTTTAGTGTTTTATTATTGAAATTTAAAAGATCAAAGGGTTTTGAGGAGAGAAAAAGAAAGAAAGAAAGAAATAAAGGAAGAAAGAAATAAAGAAAGAAAGAATAGAATTATAAAAAGGTTCTGTTTTTTTTTCATTTTCTCTCTCTAATTAAATAAAACAGCAACTCCGTCCTTGCTTTTCTCTATTTTACTTCCCATCTTGAATATTTATTTTTATTTTTTTATCAGAAATGATAACTTTCATTAGAGATAAGTTAAGCTGAAATACAGAATTCAACTCTTATTAGAAAATGATGATCCAATAAACATCAAAGATTACAGAGCTGCCCAATAAAGTCTCTCCCTTACAGTCCCTTGTTTTGCTAGAGCGTTAGCAAAACCATTTGCTCATCTCCTTACCCACTTGAAACAAACACCCACCTCCCTTGTTATGCTAGGTATTTCCCTTATCAGCTGCCTATATTGCCAAATTCCCATCTGCCCTGATTGCATCCACCCAATTACCAATTTAGAGTCTCCCTCTATCTCAACCTGCTGTATCCCCAATTGTTTGGCCAGTTTTACACCTTGATGTAGTGGCAAGATTTCCGCTCTTAAGGAATCTCCAACTCCTACTGGACCAGAATACAGAGCCTTTATCTTGCCTTCATTATCTTTGAACACACCTCCTATACCAAATGGGCCYGGATTACCTATAGAGCTTCCATCAAAGTTCAGTTTTACCCATTGTTGTGCCAGTGGGGACCAAACTTCTTGTATCATAGCTTTGGAAGTAGTAGTAGTAGATGCCACAATATCCCAACTTCTATAAATGTCTTCAGTTGAGAAATCCTTAAAAAGATCATAGGATTTCAACCAATGGATAACCTTGGTAGTTACTCCTTCCACAACCTCTTCCTTGGATCTACAACTACTTTTGAAGTTTGAAGATCCTATTGTTTCTTTCCTGCCACACTGACCACAATGCAGCAGCTCTAATGGCTCTCCACATAATTCTTCCACAAACCATTGGTTGCCCTGCAAAAAGTTGGATCAAAGAGGTTCACCACGCTCGAGGAGGGAGTCCAACTGCAACCAAAGAGAGAAGAGAACTGGTGTATCTGGAAGTGTGTTGTCGTTAACCACTTCGGAACACAAGTTTCAATATTTATAAATTTTTCCGATTCTCAAAATAACTACAAACGTAGTTAGTGGTGAGAAAGGGGTCATATCCATAGGGAAGCGAGGGAAAAATCGTTATGTACTTCAATCCGGACAAAATAACACGATTGGAGATTGCAGAAACACAAAATTTAATTAATTAAACTGGAATCCATTAACATAAAATTCTAACAATGTTGAAAGTGAAACTTGCAAAAAGATAAATAAATGACAGAAATAAATAAATAAATAAATAAGCTAAATAGAAAGTTTGTAACACAGTTAGAGGTAGCCGAATTTCCTTTGACCCTCGAACTCTTCGAGCTAGGCCTTCCATCTTATCTAGCCAAATTTCAGATCTACAGAAAGGAAGACAAAAATTAAACTAGATAAAAGTAAATTGCATAAATAAAAATAAGAATTGGAAATTAAGGAATGGAAAGTAAATCTAAAACTAATGGAAAATTGGTTGGGATCCGAATCTAGAGGTGGTAGTAGTGGCTAGGCGAACTGCAAGCAAGAACCCCTCCTCTTGCCTGGGCGTTCTCCTCTTCCTCTACCCTTGAACTTCTCAAGAACAACCTTCCGTCTTACCTCGGGGTAGAATACAACCCCTTCTCAGGACCCCATTGGGTCCTTTTTATAGAGAAGGGTGGATAAAACTGGGATTAGAGAGAGGGGGGCGGCAGCTGGGTTTTAGCAGAAATATGGGCGCCCTAGGGTTTAGAATGAAGGGTTAGGATTGTTCTATGGTGATCCTAAGGCTGAGAAGAGAAGGAGAGGACGCCCAATATTGTGTAGGGCTGAGATTTGGGCGTCCAGAATTGGATGGTGGAGATTTAGGTGCCTAGGGCTGAAAGGTGGAGATTAAAAGGAGTGGGTGGCGCCCTAGGGTGAATGGCTGAGATAGAGAGTGAAATAGAGGGCTGAGGTCTAGTGGCTAAAGGCTGAATGATGAGGATTAGAAGTTAGGTGGCGCCCTAGGGTTAGAATGCACTCAAAAGAGGGTGCCCTAGAATGGAGGGTGGAGATTAGATGTTAGGAAGGAATGAAAGGTGAGGATTTAGCAGTTAGGGGCGGCTAGGGTTTGTTAGAGATGAAAAGAATGAGTGGAGAGGCACCCTAGGGTTTGCTAGGGAGAGGGGAGTATGCTAATATAGGAGGGGCACCATTCTGGGTTTAGCAAATAGGAGGCGCCCTCCTGTGCTCAATTTTTCACAAAAACACCCCCTCTCTCTGTTGGATTTCACACCAGCTTCCCAAAAACTGCACAAGATTTGCACAGAGACCCTCAGAGGTCACATTATTGAATTTAACTAGGAAATGGGACATTTTGACTATTCTAAGGCCTAAAATACCCCTAAAATGATGCCCTTTGTAGGTGTTCAAGACTGCTATCAGTCTTGATCACTAATAAACTTCAGGTTCGAAGAGAAAAGAAAGTGAAGGAGGAGAAAGAGTGGTGAGAGAGCAGTAGAACACAGGCTTTGAGGAGAAGAACAGAATCTCAATATTCTG